TGTGAGATCATTTAAGGGGCTGCTGCTTCTGGATTAGTTTGTAGGGAGATTCTGAGTGCATTCAGCATCATATCTGGGGATCATCCCCAACCTGCTTGCTCCCTGTTCTACACCCATACTGGTGGCATTGACCACACTGGAATTGCTTGTAGGAATGTCTTCAGTTGCAGCAAAGGGAGAATGCACTGTGGTGCCGTATGGTATAACCCACATAAACCTTTAAAATGGCTATCAGCCTTTGTATTTGCAAGGCACATTTTATATTAGATGCACAAATAGCCACCTGCTAGAGCTGCTGCTGTTGAGGGCTGAGGATATCCCTGTGACCATGACATTGCTCCAGCTATGCAGCACAAAACTTGGGGAATCGTTTTTGGGGTTTGGAAGATGCCAGCAGGGGTTTCCCCTTGTGTAACTTTAGATGTCTCCACCTGAATTACGTGCCTAGACCCTAATCAGTGGGGAGGCAACTAACTTAGGATGACGTTAATTTTGCCCTATGAGTATCCAGGTTTTTCTACTGACTATAAAGGGGGTGTGGACAATGAACTCGGGGAGACAGAGATGTCTCATGGCTGACTGAGAGTGCCAGAAAGGTGCTGTGGATCTTTCTGTTGACATAATATGCTTAGGTGGAGTGGGTTTGAGACTGCTTTGTGTGTGTGGAGAAAATGGTTTTAATGTGTTTAAACATGGTTTTAAGGACCTCTTCTTCCAGTGTTTGATTACATTAAAAAAATTAACAGGTTTGTGGTTGGATTGGATGAACTTAGAGGTCTCTTTAAAAGGTCTCTTAAAAGGGTAATGGCTTTAAGTTGAAAGTGGGGAGATTTAGGTTAGACATTAGGAAGAAGCTCTTCCCTGTGAGGGTGGTGAAGCACTGGCACAGCTTGCCACTGAACTCAGCCCTCTGCAAAGCTGGCTGTGCTGCTTCTGGACCTAAGATTGTCCTGGCAGCAACGTACCTACATTTCTGCTAGCCTAAAAGCTCCGGTGACTTGTGCAGGCTGGCTCAGTTACCTCTGCACTTGCACTGACTGTCCACAGCAAATCAATGTGTGAGTACCAGTCATACTTAGGGTCAGGACTCGGTTCCTCTGCTTCCATCCCATTAGTCCAACCAATTGCCAAAAATAGAAAGCTGTGTTCTTGACCAAAACCCCCTGGGAATAAGCAGGAAGGCAGCCACTGGGTGAATATTCAGTGTAAGCCATGGCTGAGATTTGGCACTGAATAGTCTTAGTGTCTGTTTAAAAAGAGAGCATTAACCTTTTCTTGTTAGGGTAGACACCAGACTTAGGAGATCAGAAAAGACTATAAAACACAATCTGAATGATTCATGAATTCAGGCAGTTCATGAGTTTCAGTTTTCTAAACATTTGTCCATTTTTACAAGTAACAATTAGAATTCTTATTATGAAGAGATTACAAGGGCAAAACCTCTTAAACTTTTAGACTGGCACAAATTTTCTTAGATGTAGAAATGAAGTGTTCAGGACAGCGAAGCAGAACAAACTCACTTCTGGCTTTCTATGGACAGTCACAGGCTGGGCCCCTCACATCCACAGCAGAGCTCAGGCTTTTCTAAACACACAAAGACCAGGTGGCCATGCTTGCTCTTCCACCACCACCATTTTCATTGCCTGATTTATCAGCAGACCTAGTATTAAAAACAGTTTGAGATCTATTGTTTGGGCTTTTAGGCTGCAGATGAGCAGGTTTTTAATTGATATTAGGTTGGGTTTCTCAGGAAGGTGCAACAGTGTTAGTCCATGTGACATAATGATGAGAAATTACATGTTCCCATCCTCAGTGGAAATTAATAGATACTCATCTCCATAACAAACATCTTGACCATTGCATAAAGTCCTGTCAAGTTTCTGTAGCTTTCAAGTTCAGTACTGTGGTCAAACACAGCTCATGCTGGGTTTAAACCTCATGTTTACACACTGTGCTGGACAGAGAGCCTTACGTGGTTTTCATAAGGTAGGTCTGGAGTTTGGCCTGAGGGCATTGTGTACTGCATTAAGGCTGGTCACAGAAGATGGGTAGATAAGATTTTACTCAGCTGCCTTTTACTTTCACTGCAGAATGAAATATTCTTGCTGTATGAGCAGCAGAGCAGTTATTTGGAAGGTTTTTAATGGCAGGAGTTCAGAGTCTCCACCTTCTGTAAGGGGAACATGGCATTTACCTGGCCTTGGGACAACTGTGATAGCAATGAACCTCAGCAACGAACTTTACAGATCCCATCGCATACTGCATGTAAAGCCACACTGGTGTGGCTGTGTCTGAAAAGCTGCCTCGGATACAATGGCAATTGCATTTAATTACAATTTGCTGCCGAAGGATGGAGAGCTGAGTCAAACCTTCCAGGACTGACACCTCTGATTCCAGTGAGTCACCTGCCACCGACAGCACTAAAGCGTGCCTGGCAGCACAAGCCACTGAGTGTCTGTCAGACACCCACAGAGAAACAGGGGAAAACAAATATTTGCTACCAGGATGCAGTAATAGGTGAGAGGAAATGTTTAAAGGCAGCTCAAGTGCAAAGGAATATTCAGAGGAGAGTCTGAAGAGTGTAGCTGGGAGGTTTGGAGCCTGCTGCCACTTGGCTTTGCCACTTGGCTTTGCCACTTGGCTGCCGTCATTTGGAAACAGGGAGGCCAGCCTGTGCAGGGCTGGGGCTGCAGGGACCTATATATGAGGGCTATGGCCTTTCAATGGGCTGGGAGGATGCTGTGCTCCTGAAAATGCCAAGTTTCATGGAGATTAGGTGGGCAACTGCAAGAAGAAGGGGATTTATTCTCTTTGGTGCACCAGTGGGAATCAGATCACATCTCTTTCTATGTGGAGCTAAGGAGGGACAAAGCACCCTACCGCGAGCAGCCTGTTCGAGGAACAGACGCTCAAGCAGATCAGTGTCTGTAGCTGAGCCAATAAGCTGACACAACTGATTTTATAATCACATTAGTGCTGTCTCGAAATACCACACCCACTCAAATATAACAGTGATTTCATTTTCAAAACCTGGTGGTATTTTTGGTGCTAAAGGTAGGGGATTAATTATTCAGGGTCAAAGGCTGGGCTAGAATCTACAAGCACCCTCATTCCTTTAGGTCCCTATGAGCACTGAGCACCTTCCAGAAAGGTAGCAGGATTGCACGTGTTCTAAACTATCCTTAGGTTTCCCGTCCTTAGGGGAACAGGAGGGGAAAAAAAAGGCTACAGCTTCACTGAAAGGGTTTTCTTAGTTCTCTTTGTGCCTTTTGTTCCGTCTTGCTGCCAAAAAAAATATCCATGTTTGGGAACAGAGACAGGTTCCCAGGCTAAGAGACAATGAATCCTGGGGGTGTAAGGAAGGAATGATCTCTCTTTGGCAGCCGTAATGCTGTGCTGCTGCTGGGTAAATGCTCGACTCCTGTCTTCTACTGTATGCTTTATCATGAGGTGCATCATTTTCCTTATCGAGACTGCTGAACCTTAAGGGTAGGTGCATATAAAGGATGAGGGGAGAGGATGGTTGTAGATAGTCCTTCTGCTTGGGTTATTTTTTCCAACCCCATGTTTTCAAATAGCTCTGGAGTTTAGACAGTCTCTACTAGGAGTCCCCTTGCAGCAAAGAGCAGAAAGAGAAAACATAAGCTAGTGAGAGTGGAAATTTCCTCTCCCCCTCTTTTATGGTCTTATAAAACTCAGCGTGGGGGTGAATTTTTACAAGCTTAAACAGATGGAGATTCTTGCAACAGAACTTTCTTGAGAGCTGACCCAAAGTGTGTCTTCAGCAGAAAGTACTTGGCTTCAGCCTGGCCTTTTCTAGCAAAATGTGGTGATCCATGTGTGCATTATTAAAGGGAGAAAAATGAACACAAAATGTCCATGCACATGCTTCTCTTCCAAAGACAGGGTGGGGAAAGAAGCATGTGATGTGTTAGTCACATTAGTTACTATGCTGTGGAGCACATGACAGTTTGTGATGAATATGGTCTAGAAATGCTAGTTCAGCGTGAATTCCAGTCTTTACTAACAGTCTTTTTTGTCTCTCTGTCTCTGGACAGAAGCCTCTCTTGCAAACAGCAGCTCTTAGTGAAAGGGTAAGACAGAGAAGTCTTGGGTGAGTGTGGGGAGTGTGCTCAATCACGGTTCTCAGTGCAGCTGCTCTGGAACTAAAGAATCCACTGTTGCATTTCTCAATCCTTTTGCTTTAAACAAAAGGAAAATCACCATTCCTTATGGAGATTAAATTGTGGCACCCAGTGTGCAACAAATAGATAAACAACCTAATCCAAGATAAGATAATACAATCCATAGATCTGATAACTTTATATTAACTTCAGATTATCATTTTGTCTGGGGGAAAAAGACAGTGGGTCTGATTACACACCACATTTTGCTGGGGTAGATATGGAGGTATCCTCAGCCTCTGGGCTACAGGGTTGTAGATATAGTTTTGATGGGTGCCTAACCAGCACTTCTCTTTTATTGCCAAATCATTCCAGTTTCAGCACCCTGGCACCTCCTGGCAGCTTAAGTAGGTTTTGTCTTCTTGGGAAAAGAAGATAAACCCTGAAGTTTTTCAGCTGCTTTAGGAAACAGGGCTGCTGAAGCAGAGGAACAAGACTAAGCAGCTGAGTGTCTTTTCTAGCTGATCTCTGTGAGCAATTTCCAGAATCAAAACCTGTATTTCTACTTGAAGGGATTCATACTTTACCTGTCCCCCAAATAATTTTCCAATTTTATAATCTTATGATGCAGAGTAAACCAAACACACAGGTATTACATACTGCATACAACATCAACAATTATGTAAGGAAGGGGTAATCAGTAAGTTCCACATCGGTTACCTTCTGCTTGTTCAAATGAAAGCTGCAAGTATGCTATGTTAAACGCTAATTTTCTTTTCTAAAATGTGAAAAGAAACCACACACACACACAGAGAACAAAACAGGAAAGATGAGATTATTTTCTTCTCAGGGCATTCAAAATGAACAGTTACAACCTGACCAAACTAGAATGTTTTCAGTGAGTACTTTTACAGCTTTTTCCTTACAAATGTATATAATGTGCAGAAATGGGTTGCAGTCTTTTTAAGGTTATGTCTTCATAGGAGGGTTAACTGGAGCTCTGTACACTCAAACTGACTCCTTTGGAGTCAGTATACTCTGCGTGTGAGTGACCACACCATGAAATAATATGGGAGCAGCAGAGAGTGATTGTGTTGGCAACAGACAAATTGTACTAACTTGAACTCGAGCTTTCCCTATCTAAGGTTAAAGCACTACAGCAGCTTAAGATCCTTGTGAGTGCAAGGAAAGGGAATTCAGAAGGGGTGGGGATATTCACGCTTTATTTCAAGTTAACTTTTAAGTAGAGACTAGCTTTAGGGCATGAGTTCACATCCACAGCCCAAACTGGTGAATGCAGAGAAAAGCAAAGAGGAAGTAAAAACCGAAAGTGTGCCATGCTGTCATTTTTGCTTGTCTGATGCATACATTGAATGATTTTTTCCTTTGGATGAATACTAGCTTGCATAAAATTCAAATAACTCAGCTGTCTACAGATGGGGGGAGGGAGTGTGGGAAGAAGAACAGAAGGAAGGAAATGGAACTGAGAAGATTGAATTAACCTTTCAATGTCTTGAATTTCAAGAAAGGAAGAATTATCTCCTCTTAAGTCTGCAAGCATGCAATTAAAATGTGAACAAGCCTTAAAAGCCACATTTGCCCCATATTCCTAGATCTCTAGTTTAAAGACAGATCTTACAAAACAAAGGTTCAGATACAGGAGGCAGGGAAAAAAATTATTATCCTTTGAACATCTATTTTAATCACAGAACTCTGGTAGAAAAATGAGTATAAATGTCTGACATTTACATGGAACATGTGCCTTTGATATTGAAGTTTCAAAACATCCTTATGTATGTGTTTAGTAATGGCAGACAATCCTCAAGAAGGTGAATGGTTTTCTCTGTGTTGGTTTCTGTTTCCATGAAATGGATTTTTTCAGGTATCTGCTTGAGCATTGTGAAGCTTCATTTGTTAATGCAGGGCAAAGCTTTAGAAAGGACTTTGATTCTTAAGTGCTCTGCTGGACTTTGTGAGTCAGAAGAATTAGATACCTGCTGATTCAGGAGCCTCCATGAAGAGTTATGGATGTCCAACGTGGCCAACGGTCTTGTGCTGGGCATCCTGAAATAAAGTATTTGTTAGAAAACTTTATAATGCTGGAAAAGACTCAGTTTGGGGCTCATCCCTGTTTCTGGATGAAATATGCAGGAAGGAAAAGCATTTTACAGAGCAGCTAGCTGGAAATTGTTACTGTTTTGTTAGTTCTTTGGTATTGAAAGGACTCATGCTTGTCAATACTTTTCCAAGGTATCAATAGGATCCATTTAAGACACAAATTGAGCACTTCCAAGTCCAGGATAGTATGTCAAATAATTTGCTTGTAAATGAAAAATTAAACCCAAAAGTAAATACTTTGCTGACATAGGGATAATTTTCCCACAAAATAAAAGCTGCTGGCACACAATATACAGGTATTACAGCAGACGGTGTCTTGCTTTGATTTCCATTTCCTTCTAGTAAGATAATGACCCAGCATGAAGGCAAAGAATTGCATGGCAGGATACCAGCTTTCAAAGGATCAGGAGGCATTGCAAAATTGATTCAAATTCTGGAGTATTCTAGCTTAGTTTCTACTAAGCCTTGTACAGCAGTGAGCACAGTTGGGATAGGGATATTTTACTTTAATTGGCTTCATTTTCTGATGAGGGCTGTTGCTGGAATTAGACTTAAGTGGAGATGCAAATGTTCAGAGAATATTTATTCTAAGGTTGTACTAAGTCAGGACTTATACTGGGGATCCATGATGGAAATATGTCTTCAGTTCTTCTGCAACAAATACTGGTAATCATCACTTGTGGTCATGAATAGCTCTTCCTGAAAACAAGGGATTTTTTTATTAGTAATCATCTCAGATCTACCAAGTTGCTTTGTAGAATCTCTGTAAAACTTTTAGGCTAAGCAACTTGGCTTTGTAAGATTACAAACAGAGCTATAGAAATGGCTCACCCTTCATGGTGTGGCTCTGGATATGGATTTACTGATGAGACAGGGAGGCCATGGCACTCTGGCTCCTTGGTCCTAGGAGCCAGGGGCATCTGCCAAGCTCCTGCAGCTGTGCAGCAGCTGGGGAATGGTTCCCTCTACTTGTGAGCAGCCTCACACTGGGGCCTTGTCACTGTGCAGGGCAGTGCATTGCCATATGTCCTGACATGTGGATGACAGTCCTATGTCATGTGGTGGGACTGCAGCCATGCACTGCATGTACTGTGGATGCTCTGCATGTGCCTGTGTGTTCAGAGGGGGAAATGAGCCTGTGTGAGCTCCATGCTGTCTTGGCTAGCCTGCTGAAACTGGGCTGGGTGTCTGCCTGCATGTCGTGTAAGCAGGAAGTTACAAAATGCTACCATAAAATTTGACCTGTGCCCTGATAAACACAAGAGGACAGATCCCACATTGCTCAGTGATCTGAAAAGCAGACACCTTTGATTAGCTGTATTTTGGGAGTGTAACCACACAGCCACTCATTAAGTCATTGCCTCCCTTCTCTCTGTATTTACTGTCTTAGAAAAGGTGTCTAAAGCATCAGGACTCCCAGGTTCTCCTCAACCTTTCAGAAACAGGCAGCGAGAACACAAAGTGAGCAGAAAAGACTAAAATGGCAGCCTGGGACTGCGTATGTCTGCCCCCTGCAAGGAACATTGGAAGCGTTTGAAAGGGAGGTAGGGTAAGCTGGCACGAAACGGGGCACTCGGAGCCAGTTCAGAGGAGGGAAGACGCTGCCTTGGACTCCAAACCAGTGAGCAGGTGCTGTGCAGTGCCTGCCTACCTGCCTGCCTCTGCTGTCTGTCTCCTCCCGCTGCATGTGTTTTGTATGTCAGGTTTCTTGCCGTTTTACTCCTGTCAACCGGCCAACGTATCTGCTGAAGAGCCAGCTGGAGTCCGCGCTCTCCCGTGTTTCATCAACAGGATTGTCAGCTTGTTCTGATTCAGTATCTTTATTGCTGTTGATGAGGCTAAACGAATCAGAAAGAACACAGCTATGTATACAAAATACAAATTCGGAAACCTCAGCTTGATGCGAGGAAATGTCATTAGCTCTTCAAGTGGAGAAATCTGCTGTGGGAGCAGACTGGCTGCAAGTACAGACCTCCCGAGAGCTCTGTATCCCCTGACCCTCCCCGTTTTATTGTCTTTGTACAGCACCTCCTAATGATACCACATCTTCTAATAGGGAAATATAGGTTTAGATCTGATTAAAACCTAATCTACTGTGGGATTCTGATTCTCCCTTCTTTGGATTCTAAATGTAAAACCTCTTAATGAGTGTTAAGTATGTCTAGATAAATTTTAGAATCCATGCTGGGAAACCTGAAGCGAACCCCTTGCAGCTATTGGCACTACTTGCATTTCCATTAATCCCATCCTACGTCTTGTTGGTTTTTTTTTCCTGTCACATATTGTCAGTTTTCCACGGGGGGGTGGGGGGGTGGGGGAAGCTTTTCCTGCAAGGATTTTTTAGGAACTAAAATCTGAACTCCCTTAAATGCTTTATTAAACCCAGCTCCTATGGCTGCTGGCACCACATGACAGAGAAAGCTGCTGTAGTTACAACATGGCATGTGGGAACCACAGACTGCAAGGCATGGCTTTTAACACTTCTACTGCAAGCTCCTATCTCCTCACTAACTTATGCTGACTTAGTTTAAGGGTGCTAAATTGTGTATTTTGAGACACATTAGCTCTTTGTCAAAGGGCACTTCATTACTTCTGGTGTGCTTACACGTTGGAAATGTTTGGGAGCGATTACTTTTGATGCTTTGATTCAGGAAATACTTAAATATGGTTATGAGAAATGGAGAATCAGAGAATAAGCTGGGTTGGAAAAGACTTTTAAGATCATCAGGTCCAACTGCTCCCCAGCACTGCCAAGGCCACCACCAACCCATGTCTCTAAGGGCCTTGTCTACGTGGCTTTGAACACTTCCAGGGATGGTGATGCCACCACGTCCCTGTGCAGCCTGTTCCAATGCCGGACTACTCCTCAGTGAAGAAATTGTTCCCAATAAAAACCTTAGATTGGATATAAGAAAGAAGTTCTTTACCGTGAGGGTGGTGAGGCACTGGAACAGGTTACCCAAAGAGAGGCCAATGCTCCATCTCTGGCACTGTTCAAGGCCGGGTTGGACAGAGCCTTGGTGCCATGGCTTAGTGCGAGGTGTCCCTGCCCGTGGCGGAGGGGTTAGAACTGTATGATCTTATGGTCATTTTCAACCCAGACCATCCTGTGATTCTAAGTAGTGGTGACACCAACTGCGGTCGCTCTCTGGGCACCTCACAGCCCGCGGCAGGCGGATGCCTGAGTCATTGCAAGCTCGATGAACGACAGAAAAACGGCAATCCCCGGGGCGCGGTTCCCGGGTGCCGCGCTGCAGTGCCTGAGGCGCCGGGCAGCTCCCGCCCGTAACGGACAGCACCCCCCACCCTGGGGGCCGCCGGTTTCCCCTTATTGAGGCGCCATTCCCGCCCGGGGCCCCGCCGACCGCCCGAGGCGGAGCCGTTGCTACCGGTTAGACCCGGGTCCCCTCAACTCCCCTCAGCGCGGCCCCGCCCTCCCCTCCACACGTGACCCTGAGGGGAGGGGAAGGGGGGCCGCGCGCGCGCTGCACCTGTCAGTCAGCGCGTCACTTCCGGCAGTTGCCGCCGCTACCGTTGAGGGACCCCCCGCGCGCGGTAGGCGCGAACGAGCGGCTGAGGGGGGCACCGGCACGGGCGGCCCGGGGCGAGGGCACAGCGGCGGCGTGGCGAGGCCTTGCGACGGGAGAGCGGAGCGGAAAGGAGAGCCCCGCGCCGTCCTCCGGGGTAGGAAGAGGCGGAGGAACCTGCTGCTTGGTGTGCTGAGGACGGCGGGGAGGGCGAGTCACCCGGCAACGGTGAGGGGCCGCGGGGCGCATGCGCGGCGCTGTGCGGGCCGGGGGTTCTGGGGGTCGTGGTGGTAGCGGGGCGGGTGGTGTCCGCCGTTCAGCCGCGGGGAGGGCGGCCCGGGCCGGGTCTCCGGTTCGGAAGTGGTTGAGGGGTAGGGACGGTGTGGCGTCAGGCTTCAGGAACCTTCTGGCACCGGTACGGGAGCGGGAACTTCCTCGTGTGGGCAGCGGCGGGCGCGCCGCAGGGCTGCGCGGTGCAGAAGTTGCTAGAGCCTTTCGGAGGGAGCTGTCAAGCGGTGCGCCCGCTTCCCGGGTTGCACTTGTGTGGCTGGGACCTCGGAGGCAGCCCTGGCAGCCTGCAGGGTGTTCTTGGCTCTTCCAGCGGAGTTGTCTGCTGAGCCTGTTCCCTCCTCCCACTGTGGATCAGCTTTATTCCCCCCTGCGATGGGGCTTGGCGCGCTGACAGCGTTAGCCTGGTAGCTCCCTGCCAGCAAAGTTGTTCTCAAGGAGTTAAAGAAGGGTAGTCACTAAATCTTGTGTGAATAAGAAGGCAACGCTAGCACCGAGAACACTAGCTTATGGGCACGGCTCTCCATCCTGTGACTAAATGTATCTTCTGAGGAATCTGTCAGTGTGTCTGCTTCCATTGTTCTTGCAAGCTCCTTAGGGGTTTAAACGTTTTGAGTGTAAGTGCTAACAAAAAGTTGCTTCAGTATGAGATGCTTCAGTGTTAGGGTACTTCTTCCAGGTTTGAAAAAAACAGCCAACCACAAAATAACTGCAATCAACCCCTGCAACTTTAACTTTTAATACTTAATTCTTACTCTGGAGTTCCGTGGTCTGGCAGCACTTATAAATTTGAACAGGGGAGGGGAAAAAGATAACGAATGAAGAAAGTGAATAGCACCAAATCACTCTTGCCTGTTCAAGAAAAACAAAACTATATAAAATGCAACACAGCTGTTTAATTTTTTTCAGGCACATATTCCCAAGTGTCCTCAGGGATGGATTAGTTAGTCTGTGATTTTGGAGTAAATTGTTGAACTGGATTAGCATTTAGGGTTTAAGGTTTTTTTGTCTTCTGTGCAGTTTAATCTGCCAGCATAAAAGAAGAAAAGAAAAAGCTACTTTGTGTGCCTATATTATAACAAATTCACTGTCTTAGTCTGTTTGTTTCCTTTCTCTTTTTTTTGCTGCTTATTACCAGTAAACTGCTTTCTGTGTTCTTTGCTGCATAGCTTTGAAGGTATTTACATTATTTTCTTACCTGCTTTGCCTGGGTTTTGCATGTTGTCTAGCACCATAGGAATCCTTTCCTTGTCTTGACAGTGTTACAAGGAGGAATCAAATATCCCGATGTTTTGAAAGCATCAAACTGGAAATTCACAATATTATTTTAGAAAAATCAGTCGAGTGTTTCATGGTTACATTTAAAGATGTTGACCAGGAGAAGCTCCTGATCATTTCTAATGCTTGCAGATTCTGACATGGACAATGTGTCAGAACATCTGAGCTTAGGATATGACAGTTTGTATCTGCTGAGTCAGTTTGGGCTCTCGCTGTATGCACTGTAACATTGGAGGACCTTCTAATAGCTCATAAAAAGACTTAATTTAACATTTATGGCTCATAACAGGAGACCTATGCAAGCTGTGAAGTTCTCTTTCTCATGTATATAACAGCATGTTTGCAAAAGCAGGTGAGGCTGAAGAAATATTCCATGCATTTGGAACAGACAGTAACTGTCATGAAAGCCCCGACCTTGTGTGTGTGAAGGCTTTTTGTGGTGCTTTTCACCTTTTCATATACTCAACCTTTTGATCTCTGCTGAAATGTTTATAGCTCAGCAGTGGTGCCCTATTCTAGGACTCATCAGAAAGTGAATAAAGTATACCAAGCCTCTTCTAGTTTCGATTTTTGTTATTATTCCTCTTTGGTTCTTGTTTTGGTTTCCCGTCCCCGACCCTGCCCTAAGAAGCTGTAGCTCTAAGGAAGAAGAACTGCTATCAGTAGAAGAATGCCTTCAAGCTGTCCTTAGATCCTGTGCATAACACCAGGTTATGTTTTGCTGCCATGTTAGCGTACAAAACAGAAGTCTAGCAGCCATTAGGATGAGAGTGAATCGGCTTCTTGCAGGGCAAGGCAGTATTTGCATCTGTGAGGGTGGAAGATGGTAAACCATTTTAACTTCTTTTTTCCCCCTTGTATTGCAGGCACAGTTCTATATTTATTAATCATTTCAAATGTGAAAACTGTTACTTAAGAGCTAAAAAAAAATAACACTTTATCTGGGACATTTGAGGAGGAGATACAGAATTGAAGGAGTATTTAATCTTCTGTGAAGGGCCATTAAAAAGGGAGATTTGTTACTTGTCATGCAGTTTCTAAAGTAATGAATGTATCAGTTATTTAGCAGAGAGGCTGTATGTTTTGTGTCAAAATAGTATCCAGGCAGAGAATCCAGGAATTCTGCATTGATCCCTGAAAAGTCAGAAAAATTGGGCAAGTCATTTGGAGTCTCTTGCTGACCATTACTTTCTTCAAATTCTAAATTTTACCTGTAAAGACTTTGGGAATGATGACCTGTCTGAAGGCTTTAGCAAATTCAGATTTGGCTTTATAGTTTTGTACTGGCCTCATAGCCAACTGCTGGGATTTATGAGGGTTCTGTCAGTTCAGATGAATTCTGTGTATTCTTACAGCCTAAAAGAGAATCTGTTTGTTCCTGCATCTATTTTTTTGTAAAGCTGTTTTTTTTTTTTAAGTCTTAAACCCCATAGTTTAGGTGATGATAGTGCTGAAAGCCTGTTCTGCTTGCAACATATGAGTGGAGTCATTCAGTGCAAGAAATGGGCCATATTTTGCACCTGGATCTAGTACCATATTCTGATTATAGTGAAATGAATAGTTCTGATAGTAACAAACAAGGGTGCTCTTGAGGTGTCTCACTTGTGAATGTGTGAAATTTTATACTGTAACGTTTGTCTTAGAAAAAAGAAAACTTGAGCTTAAAATAAAGGTACTGCATTATGTTCATGTTCACACAGCTTGTAACAAAGACTGTGCCTGCAGAGGCTTTTTGGTATTGAGGGTTTTATTTTCCTTGCTATCTGGAGCTTTGTAAGGACGTTAGGGTGGGGCAGCTGCTCGGTCAGAACAGAGGATCTGGTGGGAGACCTGAATGGATTGTCCAGGTTCCAGTCTCCCTACCTGCTCTCTTCATATGTCTCTTCTGTTCAGTGTGTTCCCTGCAGTGTGTTCGGGATTAAAATTTGTGCTCAGCTGTGTAGGATAATAATACTTGGACAAAATTGAAAAGATGAAAGCTGGAATCTTATGAATGCCGTTCTTTCTTCCTTTATTTGCCGCCTGTTTTTTTAAGCATGTATATTTGAAAGGGTGGGTTTTTTTTTCCCCCTTTTTGCTGAACTTCACATTTAATTAAATCTTTTGTTGTCACTCTTTTATTGTCATCGGGTTCATTTTTAGGCTGCAATATAATTTCTAACCTTGTGATTCTGGTGGTATCTTCAGATTTGGTCATGACCATGTTGTGA